CACTAGAATGTTGGATCACACACACATTTTTGACTTGATGATTAACTGTGATATAGGAGTATTATATTATATACAAAATTGTAAAAAGAAGAACCAAGTGGAAGCATAGAGAAAGTGAATTGGTATTGGACCTTTTTGGTTAAGTCTTCCATGGATGTTTAGGGTTATGCACGTGTAGTACTTTTGTTATATCCTCTGTCACACTTTCATGATCAAACGAGGAGGTCCTTCTCATCGTTAAATAGTTTTATTGTATATGGTGGGTTAGCTTTGATATCACATTGGTAAAATAAAACAATTCATAAGAGTTTGAATGATCTTAGAGTTCTTGATAACTAGTAAATTAATATTGAGTTGAATGTTCACATTTTGGCACACACGTAAACTCTATCAATCTAACCGATTACAAAGAGATAAGAATCTGAATTCTTCTAGCTTTTTTTTTTAAAGTATTGGAAAGACTCACAGAAGCATTTCAATTTCTTCTGACCATCATCAAGTGATTCACCAACATCATAAATCGAACTTAGAACGAACCGTATAAAATACAGGCATGAAATTCGCCTCAATCATTGAACCGCCGGTGGTGGTTTCTAGCTAATATATAAAGTGCTATAATTTGTAGTGTGATTGGATTAGATATGGTGTGCACTCACGCGTGCATTGGAAACAAATGTACGTCCACACATTTTTGGATATGTAATTGTAAGATTGTTGGGTTTCCAAGGTGTTGCCTGCTTAGTGTTTTTGTTAAGTTCTATCTATTACGTGACGGTTTCATCTCAAATCTCTATGACATAATATATAGGTGCCTCTAAAAATGTTATATTTCTTTCGGTATATTTGAAAATTAATAAAATCGGGCCGTGGGCCTTGAGCTAGAATTTTGAAACCCATGCAATCGGAGTCCATGAGTGTTTGAACCCTTTTTATTTTGGGCCTCTTGGCCTCAATGGCCCAAATCTTTGTTACTGCACCGGAGATTCTGGCGAAGAGGAATCGAGAAGGAGTGGACGGTGATTCCGGCGAAGAGGCCACCGGAGATGTTATACCGAAGATGGGAGTAGTGGTGTCTGAAAATTCCATTCCGGTGTAAACAAATTTTCTTTTGAGCGAAATACCAAACCAATCTTCGTGTGTTTTTACCTCGTTAACCAATTTAGCAACCGTATTAAGATTATTTCGTAAATGCAGTTCCTTAAGACCTATCCTAAATTTTCAACCATGGTGCAAAATTGGGAACTCATTAAAACGCTTTTACTAGTGCACAATAAAAACTACACAACCAATCTGTACAATTGAATATAAACCGTTGGATCAATTAATCCAACAGTTTTTATTCAATTTTGCATATTAATTTTGTTGTGCATTAGCCTAAAATGTTAATTATTAAGAGGACGCCCACCCCAATTGAGTAACATTTAAGTTGAAGGGGTTCAAATCTTCTGCATCCAAAATTTTTTGTGATCTTTTTATGACCTATTTACTTAATTGATAATTTGCATCCATCAATAACGTGATCTTAGATACTTGTGATAAGCAAAGCTCATTCGTAGAAAATTTAAAAAATAATATGAGTGGTTTATGGCTGACTCTAATGACCCTTCAAAGCTTAACAGGACCGCTAACCCCCGTTGATTATTGAAATAATGTGAATTAAAACGCCCTTAATTATTCAATTATTCTGAGACTTATGGGTCACTTATCTTGTGGTCTTAATTATCACCAAACATCGACTTTTAACCACTTATAAGAAGTTTTCGGTATTAATTGTTTATAAGTTGAAGAATTAAAATTATTAAGTGAAGTAATAAAAATAAAGAAAACTAATGAAAAATATTTGAAAACTTTGAGTTTTAACGATAAGAACAAAATAAAAGATAAAATGAATATAACAGATTTGACTTTTTAGCATCAAATGTGGTTTTTCGTTAAAGTGAACCGCGATTTTTTCGTTAAAACTCCCATAAAAATAATGATGTGTCAAGAACTGAGATAAGTCACAGTAGTACCACTACTACCACAGTGTTTTGAATGCATAAGATTTCATCTCGGGCCATAGCGTCTATTTGGCAATTGGGGCTTTTTTTCGGATGAGGATCCTCTTTGTGGGGATTTTAAAGATTTTTACATCATAATCGTTCATCGTACATTGTACGGTAAATTTTTGTTAGATACTATTTGTGTTTAATTTTAAATAAAAAAATTTAAATAATTTCTGAACTCATGATATAAGATGAATAACTAGAATGTAAAAATCCTTAAGATTTTCATAATTTAAATCCAAATAGAATCTAAATTCCTTTTTTTTTTCTTTTTCTTTTCCATTAGTGTGACATTTACAGGGCACATGCTGCACGACAATAATTTGAAAAAACGTGAACGACCACTCAGTGAAAGGCATTTCCTCCACCCACTTTGGTTTTATCGACTTTATTCCCAATTTTTAAAGCTGGCTAGACAGGCATTCTGGAATCACTTTCGAGAAGGTGTTACTATAAAATGAAAAAAATGTTTATAACATTTCTTGTGTTGTTCTTAACCCATGGACCCTCCATTTTAATTTTAACCATGGAGATGGTATATACGTTATATTGGTGTGTGGGTGTAAAGTTATTAACTACTATAGTTTAATAGTATTCGTTTCATTTGTAAACGAAATGCTTTAAGATTCAATTTGAGTTTTATACCAAATTATTAAGACAAACGTATTGTGTAGCTAAGCTCAAATCTCCGTTCTTTTTCTTTTTAATATATCAATGAATGAAACAAATTGATGGGAAGACCTGGAGTGATAATTCCATAAAGAAGAGTTGCAAACAATCGTTGATTGAAAAAAATATGGGTTTCAATTTCACATTGCACGTTCTCCGACCATTTAATGTAGATAGTATATATTAAAAAAAAACTTTATGTTACAGGAATGATTTTAACCAAGCTAAGAGTAGTATGCTCACCCTTATATATATCCAAATTTGAATCATCTATAATTTAGACGAAAAGTATTGAAAACATTACGAAGAAAATGTTCCTTCCAAAATTTGAGTCACGGATTAAACCATATAAATGACTTCAAAAATTTCTACTTTACGTTAAGGCATTTTAAATTATACTACATAAAGAAATAGATATAATAAAGTGACCAAACTTATATATGCAATTTTACCGAGAAATATCATAAGAATTAGAGTAATGTTAAGGAATTCACATTTTGTAAAGAGTAAATTGTAACAATGGTCATTTAGCTTTAACTCAATTGAAAATTCATTACCATTGGTCCCTCAATTCATCAAAACGTGCAGTTAAGATCTCTCAACTAAAATTCAATTACAATTTGTCCCTTAACTTTAATCAAACTGGAGAAATGATTCCTCAACTTTAACCCAATTGGAGCAATGGTCTCTTAACTTTAATTCAATTGTAGCAATGGTCATTCCAACATAACTCATTTTGATAAAATTTTGACGAAGTTGAGGAAAATGATTTTAGCTACATATTTTGATGAGTTGAGGGACCCAAATTGTAGCAATGGTCATTCCAACATAATTTATTTTGACAAAATTCTAACAGAGTTGACGAAAATGACTATAACTACTTATTTTGATGAGGTACATGACCAATGATAATGAAATTTTAATTGAAGAATCATTGTTCTAATTTAATTAAAAATGAATAACTATTACTATAATTTACCATTTTGTAAACGACGCATAAACTGTATTTTAATAGAAATAAGATCCACAATAATTTCCACCTACGATGATCTAAGTGCGATTTACAAAAATGTAATACCATACCACTAACATTTTCGAGCTCGATTTCGAGGAAGTTATGATTGTTTGTCCCATCCTTCACCCATGTGCGTGTGATCTCCATCTTGGCCCGTACTGTCAGATGATCTGACTCAGAGCTCACATGTGCTGCGTTCCGATTACAAAATGGGACATGAACAAGAAAAGCATAAATAATAATTCTTCCCCAAAAACACAAAAAAACAGAAGAGAAAAGTAACAAACAAAAATACTAATGGGCCCCGGCTTTAATTACATGCTGAGCTGTCATCACCTCATTGGCTCCCAATTCCCCATCAAAGCCATCCCACATGAAGGTGGTATACCACGTGTCATTAAATAAATGATGAGATATATGTGCTAAAAAATTAATAACTTAAAACATAAAAATTCTTATCATTCCTATTAAAATACGTAATGTATTACTTATATTCCCGTTACAACTAAAAATTTCTCCCCCATGGCCGAAACCCACTAATCAAGTTTCACCGACCAAACACACGGCTTTAGAAAGAAAATATTTACATTTTATTAAAATAATAATTATAAATTGTTTTTATAAATCATTTAATCATACATATCTGTCTAACACACACAAAATCCTGCTTATATATGTAATTCAACTCTCATTAATTTATCTCGGGTAAACTATATTCTATTAAAAATAATTAGATAACTTACTAAGAGCATCTTTAAAGGAGGTCAAATTCAAAACATCAAGTTTCAATTTAATGATTGACTTGATAATTTGACATAATATCAATATTTTTCTTCCACGTAATGTGCCAAAATTTATTGCTTCATTTATGTTTTTAAATAAAAATAATAAAAATTGGGCTACTGTTTGTTTAAAATAATAAAATAATATTTAAATATGCTAGCATTTAAGATAAGACAAGTATAATGTCTTTGGAAATAGCAAAAACCTCATTTGATGCTAGTGTCAATTTTGATATCTTCTCGTTCATGTTAGTTTAGTATTCTTTTCCATATCAACTTTGACATCTCGATTTTAAAGATGGTTTAACGATATAAAAATTAAATAATCTATTAACTGTATCAATTTGACGATTATTTAATTTACACAAAAAAAAAAACGTTATAATTAATTTTTTGGAATTTCCCAAATTGACCGCACGCGGTAACTCTGACACACCACGCGGCAAAGAGATTTTAATTTAATATTTATACCCACTCTGTCACGCTCATCCCTCAACTACTACTCTATACTGTAATGGACCACAACCAGATCGTGGTCGTTGAAATGTTGAAACGTTTCGTCCGAAAAATTGATCGGAGATATTGAAACGTTTGAGGCCAGAGAGCTGCACAGTTTCTACAGCTCAGTCAACGCTCAGTCTCTCTCCGTCTTCAGCTTTCCGCCATAGCCAAAAGCTGCAAGAAAGAGAGGGATTTGGAGGAGAAGACCAAGTCAGATTCTGTGGCGGTCTACGGCTGAATGTTATAGCACATCAGAGAGGAAAAGCCGAAAAGAAAAAGCGATTCCAGGTACTTTTGGTAAAAGCGCTTTTGGTTCGGCTTGCGTTTGAATCTTTGGCGGTGTGCTTGAATGAGTAAAGGTTAGGGCGGTTACTGTGTGTATAAAGGCTAGGGTTTCTGGTTTGCGGTGAAGCTGAGAAGTTGAGATGGAGAGCTATTTGAACGAGAACTTTGATGTGAAGGCGAAGAACTCGTCGGAGGAGGCGCTTCAGAGATGGAGGAAGCTCTGTGGATTTGTCAAGAATCGGAAACGGAGGTTCAGATTCACTGCTAATCTCCCCAAGCGTTTTGAAGCTGAGGCCATTCGACGATCCAATCAGGTATAAATCGGGTACTCTTTTGGTTTCTCTCTCTTTTTTTGTTCTGTTTGGCTCCTGAGAAAATTTCATTTTTGGAATTATTTAGTTCTTTTTGTTGATTAATTGAGTGTGATCCCAATGCTAATCTGGATTTCTATAATTGATTAATGTTCGTTTTCTGCGTGCTTATAGATTTACGTTTCAGCTGGATCTCTAATTGATTAGTGTTCGTTAATCTGGATTTTGAATTTATTAGTGTTCGATTTCTAACAAAATCAAAGTGTTGTAAATAGAAAGTTGGGAAGATCATCTCTCAATCAAAATTCGATGATAGGCTAGCTAAGAAGGGAAAAAGTAGACTCGCTGTTGTTCGTAATTTGGGATTATGTGTTTCTGGTGCATGCTGAATTATCAGTGCTGTTCCCAGATCCATTTCAGCTTGGAATAGCCATTTTGTTCCGTCTCATCATGCTGAATGTCAAAACGAAAACCTTGACCAAGTACATATTGTACTAGATTTGGTTGATGGTATATCAACTGTTCTATTCTGATAATCTGTAAAAAAACTTAAAAATTGATGCATTGCGTGGTATGGGAGTTTGTTCAAGGGGGATGCGCGTGAACGTTGGGACTCGTGAATGATTATCATTTCAGAACCATGCACTGTAAAATTTTTAAGCAAACTCAACAGCTTTAAATGACCTTATGCTACATAAATGAGGATAAGTTCAATTCTTCGGTGAACCATAGTTGCTGGTTGATAGGCTATGAAATTAAGGTATACCGTCTACCATAAAAAGAAATTGAGCAGATATATTTATACTTAATGGGGGTATTAACTCCTAAAAAATATATTCATGAGCATACTTAATGTAGAAAATATATCTTTTGCTGTCTTATAAAAGAAAACTTTATTTCTTAGCGTGTTGTTCTTTGTTCTTCTTCGGTTGAAATAACAGGAGAAGTTTAGAGTTGCAGTTTTGGTTTCACAAGCTGCGCTTCAGTTTATCCAAGGTTAGAATCTTAGCCTACTCAGTTTTAAAGTTGTTTATACAAGACAATATTTTTTATATTTTACAATGGTTCTATTTGTTTTATATGTTTAATTGGTTTTCAATCTTGAATGTGTGCAGGTTTAAGTTTGCCCAGTGATTATACCGTGCCTGAGGAAGTCAAAGCTGCGGGTTTTCAAATTTGTGCTGATGAGGTGGGATCAATTGTTGATGGCCGTGATTTGAAAAAGCTGAAAAGTCATGGTGGTGTGGAGACTATCACAGACAAGCTTGGAACATCCAGTATCAATGGAATTTTTACTTCTGAGAAATTGCTTAATAAGAGAAAAGAAATATATGGGGTTAATAAATTCATTGAAAAACCGCCCCGTGGATTTCTTGTTTATGTGTGGGAAGCCCTTCAGGACACTACCCTCATGATACTTGCATTTTGTGCCTTTGTATCTCTGCTGGTTGGGATAATGACAGAAGGTTGGCCAAAGGGTGCCCACGATGGACTTGGAATTGTTGCTAGCATTTTGCTTGTTGTATTTGTCACTGCAACTAGTGATTATAAACAATCCCTGCAGTTCAAGGATTTGGAGAAGGAGAAGAAAAAAATTACAGTTCAGGTTACTAGAGATGGATTCAGACAGAAGTTGTCCATTTACGATCTACTTCCTGGCGACCTTGTTCATCTTTCTATTGGAGATCTGGTCCCAGCTGATGGACTTTTTGTTTCGGGGTTTTCTGTGCTGATAAATGAATCCAGTTTAACAGGAGAAAGTGAACCAGTTAATGTCAACTCTACGAATCCTTTTCTCCTCTCTGGAACTAAAGTTCAGGATGGATCATGCAAGATGCTTGTAACTACCGTTGGAATGAGAACCCAGTGGGGTAAACTGATGGCTACTCTTAGTGAAGGAGGAGATGATGAAACCCCCTTGCAGGTCAAACTAAATGGTGTGGCAACCATCATTGGGAAAATAGGCCTGTTTTTTGCTGTTGTTACATTTTCTGTATTGGTTCAAGGATTGTTCAGCCGCAAGCTTCAACAAGGATCACACTTGATCTGGTCTGGAGACGAAGCATTGGAAATCTTGGAATATTTTGCTATAGCTGTTACAATTGTTGTTGTTGCTGTTCCAGAGGGTTTGCCTTTGGCTGTGACATTGAGTCTTGCTTTTGCCATGAAGAAGATGATGAATGATAAGGCACTAGTCAGGCATCTGGCTGCTTGTGAGACAATGGGATCAGCCACAACTATCTGCAGTGACAAGACTGGGACACTAACGACGAACCACATGACTGTTGTGAAAGCTTGCATTTGTGGTAAAATCAGAGATGTGGGAACCTCCGAGGAAGCTACTAACTTGGCTTCTATAGTTCCTGAATCTGGTTTGAGGCTTATACTGCAATCTATTTTTAACAACACTGGAGGAGAAGTTGTTAAAAACAAAGATGGCAAGACTGAGTTACTTGGAACACCCACTGAGACTGCTATTTTGGAATTTGGGATGTTGCTTGGCGGTGATTGCAAGGCAGAACGGGAAGCAACAAAAGTTGTTAAAGTTGAGCCCTTCAATTCTCATAAAAAGCGAATGGGTGTTGTTCTAGAGCTTCCTGAAGGTGGCTTCCGGGTGCACACTAAAGGTGCTTCTGAGATAATATTAGCTGCATGCGACAAATTCATGGGTCCAGATGGCGAGGTTGTTCCCCTTGATAAAGCATCCATTGATCTTTTGAATGGCATCATTGAACGTTTTGCTAGTGAAGCCCTTAGAACTCTCTGCCTTGCATACATGGAGGTCGGCAATGAGTTCTCAGCTGAAAGTCCTATTCCCACCTCAGGGTACACATGTATAGGCATTGTGGGTATCAAAGATCCAGTTCGTCCTGGTGTCAAGGAGTCTGTAGCAATTTGTAGGTCTGCTGGTATTACAGTCAGAATGGTTACTGGAGACAACATAAACACTGCAAAAGCAATTGCAAGAGAATGTGGAATTTTGACCGATGGAGGTTTGGCAATTGAAGGCCCAGTGTTTCGTGAGAAGAGTGAGGAGGACTTACAAAAAATTATTCCAAACCTTCAGGTACAGTTTCTTATTTTTCTGAAAAGACACTTGTACAGAAACATGTGATCAAAATTTCACAATCCCGCCAGTGAGCTGTCTCAGAAACATTTAATTAAATGAATTTTACTTAACAAATTCCCTAGACTGTAGACTGTTAAACCTATTGAAATTCCTTATTCCCCCGTTACCATTATTGCACAGCTAATTATGGTAGATGTACAACTTCATGTCTTTAGTGGGAAGTAGAAATACAAACAGTGACATAGCACTAACCATATGAACGATAAATACATTATTTCTTGACTTATGGGTGACTTGCACCTTTAGCCATAAATAATAGAACAGTTTTCTTGTTTAATTTTGCTGTTCCCTTCCACTTCAAGTGACTTTTCTAATGATGCAATTTGATGTTATGATCAGGTTATGGCTCGTTCTTCACCAATGGATAAGCATACCCTTGTAAGACACTTACGGACCACTTTTCAAGAAGTTGTTGCTGTGACTGGTGATGGTACAAACGATGCTCCTGCACTTCATGAAGCTGATATAGGACTTGCAATGGGCATTGCTGGTACTGAGGTATTTACGAAGATGTTGCTTCTTTTTGTGTCCTAATAAAAGCCTCCTCTCACTCTCTCAAATTGTAAAGTCGCACATTTCCACAGTTGATTTTCCTGTTTTATAAATATAATATGCTAAAAGCTGCAACTTTTTTACTTCTCAGGTAGTTGTTTCTAGAGAAAAGTTCATTCACTATTTTCTCTCTCATGTCATGCCTGTAAACCTATTTTGTTGCATTACAAACATTCAATTCCAGTAGAATTTGATTGGAAACTATAGTTGTACAATCAGAGTTGCATGATCTTATTACTAAATTGAGATATCAGAAGAATGCACAAGGGTTGCAAACTGGTGGTGGTGGTGATAAGACTAAATTTTTTGAGGTTTACATTTGGATAATACTAGAAATAAGTGAATCCTTTGCCCAAGGACGTCTTATTTACTCTCTTCTTCTTGTGCATGGATCCCCTGATCCTTTTTGATATTAAGGTAATTAAGAATGTGCTAATTATATCAGGTGGCAAAAGAAAGTGCTGACGTGATAATTCTGGATGATAACTTTTCTACAATTGTGACTGTGGCCAAATGGGGACGTTCAGTGTACTTGAACATCCAGAAATTTGTTCAGTTCCAGTTAACGGTTAATGTAGTTGCACTTATTGTCAACTTCTCTTCTGCCTGTTTAACTGGTAAGCAGACTGCGATGCATTTTCTCTCTTGTTTAAGTTTCTTATTCTTTTTCTCATGAAAATATTTTATTGGCTAACTTTTTGTTTTGGTGTTGATAACGCTCATAGGAAATACTCCCCTTACTGCTGTTCAGCTTCTCTGGGTCAACATGATCATGGACACTCTAGGAGCCCTTGCATTAGCCACGGAGCCACCTACTGACGATTTAATGAAGAGAGCACCGGTTGGCAGGAAAGGAAACTTCATCACTAATGTGATGTGGAGAAATATCCTAGGGCAGTCTCTGTATCAGTTTGTGATAATATGGTTTCTACAGACCAGAGGAAAAGAAGCTTTTCAGCTTGTTGGCCCAGACTCGGATTTGATCTTGAACACCCTTATCTTCAACTCATTTGTGTTTTGTCAGGTAATTATGAATCATCGAGGGATGTGATTTAATCGTATTGCGTTTGTTAATGAATGGAGTATTGGAAAAAGTAAAATTCAAATTCAGGAAATGACTACTCATCCAGATACATTCATTTGAATGCTACCGTCTTCTTTCAGGTTTTCAATGAGATCAGCTCGAGGGAAATGGAGAAGGTTAACGTCTTCAAAGGCATAATGCAGAACTATGTTTTCGTGACTGTCCTCTCTGCCACTGTTATCTTTCAGATCATAATCATCGAGTTCTTGGGTACATTTGCGAACACACATCCTCTAAGTTGGAAACAATGGTTTGCCAGCGTTGCACTTGGGTTCCTTGGCATGCCGGTTTCAGCAGTTCTGAAATTCATCCCTGTGTAACAAGACTGAAATCAACCGGAACTTGAACAGGTACTTCTCCACTTGCCTACCGATGGATGTTTTGTTATGGCATCATTTCAAAGATCATTCTTTTGACTCCGTAAACTCTGAAAAGCTCACAAATTCAAGGCTAAATGATAAACTCTCCCGCTTACAAAATGATAGTTTTTGTAAACATGAATGCGTAGGACGTATTCTACCTGTTCGAACGTCTAACCAGTTGTACTTTTACAAGGATTTAGTTTATGCTAACAGGTTGAATGTTTTTCTTAATCGTGCTGTTCATTCCTTAATGCTCATCCTTCTCTTGTAATTGCTCGTGTTATTGTCGATAATTAAACCACCGATTGATGCATGCTGCATAAGAGACTGCTTGTACTATAGTTGGCCATGGCAATTTCCGCGCATATACCGGAAATTTTGCCGTAAAATTTACCATGGCATGCGACTCCCATCTCTTTCGTCGAGAAAGCAAATTAAATGATATGACATGCAATCTTCTCGTATCTTCGCTTTCACCCAAACATCAGTCGAAGTTATGAATGGAGGTGTCACGTGACGAGAGAGATATTAGCGTAAGAATTTACTCCAATTACTCTTTAAGCCAGTTAAAGTTTTACCTAATTTGGTCACATGTGATATTTACTATTACCGAAGTAATTCCACTCTGCTATCGAAATTTCTTTAGCAGAACAGAATCACACTTCTCTGATGTAATGCAACTCAAAGAATTCTCTACAACATCCATTCACGGGGCTCGAATCAAACGGAATCAGCGATCAATCGGTTTTTACAGGCTTCTCTGCTGGAACTGAAGATCTAACTGCAACATTTATCGGGATCGATCGGTCCTTCAGACTCTTTAGCTCCTCCTGCATCCGATTGTAACATAAAAACACAGCTTCCTGCAACACAAGGGCCAATGAGTCCAAGATTAATCAAAATCCAGTCTTTAATCTAATTGATTAATCAACAAATGAGATCAATTAAGAAAACTCACAATTTCCAGAAATTTCAAGTCAGGAACCGATTTTATCATGACTTCCACTGCTTCCTTTATAATTTCTGATCCGCTGCCATTAAGGTGGCGGCTGCTGCTACGGCGGACGGTCGATGATGCATTAAGTTAATCTCTGTAAAACATTAAGATTAGAGTTAATTAATAAATTATAATTAACCATCGAAATTTCGAAAACAAGAAATGGGGTTTTGGAGTTCGGGGACTAACCTTGAGAACCCATGTGATGGATTCAGATCGAGCTTCCAAAAGCCAGCTGGGAATGATCACACTTTCATCTTTCTTGAAGCCGAATTCGATCTCTCTGTTGATTAAGTTCTTCAGTTGCTCTTGTTCCAGTGCACTATCGGAGCAGTAGTTCATGCTGATCAATGCGTTTTCATCAGCCATCTCTCTCCGTCCAAAAATGTCAGACGTTCGTGGCAACAAACGTCTGGCGAGAAGGGATCGTAGTTATCACCTCCGTTGTTTCTTTCTTGGCAAGAAAGGTGCAGAAAATGTAGTAGAAAAAAGGAATCAAATAGTATGAACTCAGTGAGCCAACCCAGTACTGAACCCAAAGATTTGGAGAGAGAAAATGGTTGACCAGCAAAGACTGAATACGACTGATTATATTTATAGTGAAAGTGGATGCAGAGATGTGACACAGTTTTGACGGTTGCAGGTTTAGCAGAGTAGTCTGTTCACTCATCTGTTCCTGCTTTGTGAGTACCACAAGCTTGAACGCTAGGTTGGGCATACGTTCGTGTGCGATTGATCCTAGCATCTCTCATACTTATATGCTGCATCGTTTTTCCGAGAGCATATTTTGCTTCTACATCTCAAATTAACCGTCAAATTCTCCGGCTTCAAGTTTTCAACATTCACTGAAAATGCCCATATAATAAGAGCAACTCCAATCGTTCTAGGAGAGCAAGGGCAAGGCAAGGTGATGGCAAGCCAATGAAATTGCTCTTATAATAGTAATTGGCTTGGTGCAGATCCATCGGTTTGAGAAGAGAAAGGGCAAGGGAATGGCGATTAATATTCACAAATATTTCTTTTTAATGTTTTATGCCTTGTAAGTGTGTAACTAGCAAATTTGTTCTTAGAAAATAAAACTTCATATTTAACCCCGATAATTTAATTTTAAATACAAAGCAAAACATAGTATTACAACAAGCATAATTAAAAATAAAAGGCAAATGAAGAAGATGGTTGAACTTTATAAGGTTGTGGAGTGTTTTTAATTTTAAGTGTATTGTTAAAAAGCATTTGTGCTTATTTAGAATTTTTTGGTGGTTTTTTAGCTTTTTTTATCTTCAAATTAATTCAGACAGTTGATTTACTAAATTTTGTTTAAATCAGATGCACCAGATTGTGCCACGTTGGACAACCTTAATTTTTTTTTTTTTTAATGTTGGAAATCCAACAGTCTGCAAAGACAAGGCAACGATCTCCAAGGGACTAGATTTTGCATATGGGTGGGCCCAGTACTGCAATGGCACAAGCCAAGGCAATTCTTGCAAGGGCAGTTGAAAGGGTATAAGCCCTTGGCCTAATTGCCCTCCGTTTTTTGAACCGGTGGACCAATTTTTTTTTGGGGCTAAGGACAATTCAACCCAATTGCCCTATCCATTAGACCATGAGTGGAAATGCTCTAATGGTGTTTCCGAATTTCGGTCTACATGGCATTTACACAACTCTTTTTCTCTTTACAAACTTGAAATGTGTGTATTAATTTCTACTAGGTGTGTCTGAATTTCCCTTCAATGATGATTGCCTTGTACAAAATACTCACAGACATTGCATAATATGAAAACAAATAATATTCTGGTACAAATTCTAGGGCAAAAAGCTTTGCTCTTTTATTACTTTCTGTAAATTTTCTTCAGGAAGCTGTTTCTCATCACCTCCAAATCATGACATTGTGAACAAGTAAGAACTATGCACTCTCTTTAAACCAGTTACAATTTTACTGATGTAATCTAATCTAACTGAAAAATTCTCTACAAGTTCCATCCGCTGGGCTCGAATCAAACAGCATCAGCGATCAATCGATTTTTACGGACACGGGTTCTTTAGGTTTCTCCGTCCTTAGCTCCTGCAGTATATTGTAGCATGAAAACACAGCTTCCTGTGACGCAAAAGGCCAATAAGTCCAATACTTCATATGAAACATCAATTAAGTAATGAGAAAACAGCTAAATGAACTCACAATTTCCGAAAGTTTCAGTTCTGGTATGGAGTTTATCTTTAGTTCCAATGCTTCTTTTGTTAATTTCTGATCCAATGCCATCAAGGTGGCGGCGGCTGCTACAGCTGACGGTCGTTGATGCATCAAATTAATCTCTACATTAACATTAAAACATGATTAACTAACCATCTAAATCAACTCACAATTAATTAAGTGATCAAATAGGTACAGAAGTACCTGTGATCACAGAAAGGAGGAGGTCTTCAATCTTTAATTTTACATCAGATGGAGATTCTTGGCACAACTTGGAGATGAAGTAATCGACAAACGAGAAGGGTGTGATGATATTCATGTTCCATTCCAGTGCTCCCAACACCATAAGCTCCATTTTCTGAATCAGTTTTCCTTCGAAAAAGTGAGGATTTTCGACTTCATATTGCGACAGTGATGGAATGTTCTGCTCCTTCATCTTTGCAGCCAGAGATAGACACGCCACAGAAAGCAATCTAACCATAGCAACCTGCAAAAACATGAACTGATTCTCGTTACACAATCGCCATAAACACCGAATGGAATACAGTTTACATTACACATTGGCATTATCGTTTAGACATAGCCCGAAAAGGCGAACAACAAAATCTTACAGGGATTTGTCTCAGGGAAATGAACCGATCAAAGTATGTCATGCACAAATATGCTGTTCTAGGATGAAATCCAAGACCCGTTCTTCTCTGAAATCCCAAGAAACACCAATAACAGAACACAATCAATTTCGATTCAAAACAACTTTTTGTTATCGAAACTTGGAAAACAAGAAACTGGGTTTTTGAGATTAGAGACTGACCTGGAGAACCCATGTGATGGATTCCAATCGAGCGTCCAAAACCCAGGTGGGAATCACCAAATCTTCGTCTTTCCCGAACCCAAATTCGATCTCTCTGTGGATTAAGTTCTGCAACTGCTGTTCTTCCAATGCAAACGCCATCGTAATAGTTGTTGAGTTTGAGGAATGCCTTGTCTTCTACAAAATCTCCGTTGAAGAGAAAGCTGTGGCTTTCTCGGCAAGAAAGGTCCGGCGATACAGGATCACTATTTTGGTTTCTTTTTCTTTCTATCTGTTTATTGCATTCCGCGCAGAAAATCTAGTAGGAACAGAGTCGGATAATACAATCCCAGGACTGAATAATCCGAGATTTGGAGAGAAAGAATGGTTGACCAGCAAGACTGATAAGGACCGGAGAGGTTGAAATGGAGACGAAATAGGGTTACAGTTTAGCAAGAATGTGACACCGGTTTAACGGTTACGGTTTCAACAGAATCGGGAAACGGGGTGTGTGAAACAGTTTAGCAAGTACCGGTTTAGGAAAGTAATTTTCACACACATTTTTTAGCCTCTTATACAGCCTATTTAGGGCTGGTTTAGTATTACTGTACTTTGAAAAAAAACTGTTATGAGAATAAGCGGCTATGCTGTGAAAATAAGCGGCTGTAAAATAAATCAGCAGAATGTTTGGTAAACTTTTTTGTAAAAGTGCTTTTGGAAAAAAAAAAAAAAAAAAACAGTCTGATAGTGGGTCTTTTCATTAAAGGAGCATTGTAGCTCCGTGTGCTTTGAAAAAAAGCAAGTTTTCCAAAGCTGCAAATAGCAGCTTCAACTTTTTCCTTTGATTTCAGCTTATTCTCACAGCAGCTTCCAAAATAAACCCTTTTTTTTAAGCACCTCACTCCCAAACCACCCCTTAATCATGACCATTGATTATGTTTTATTTATTTAATTTGATGGCCAAAAATAAAAAGGGGTGTGTGAGACGGATTTTTTCAAGTACCAGGTTGTCAAACGGTACTCCACATGTCATAATACAAGTGGAGGAAATAAATTTTTTTTTTTGTGTGTCCCTCCACTTATTTTATGTCACGTGGAGTATTTGATTGAATACAGAACACTTGAAAAAAAATTATCATGTGAGGCTAAAAAGTAAAAAATGTGTGTGAGAATCACTTCCTTTAAAAATTGTATTTGCACTTTTATAGAATCAACAACCTGTCATTGCACATTTGAATGAACAGGTCATTGATTTTACAAGATGAACACGTCGTTCAAGTAGGTTTAAGAAAAATGAAAACTAACGTAAAGTCTTAAAAAAATTTAGTTTTAATGAAAAATAACAAATAAATATGTAATGAATAATACTAGAGAAAGGTAAAAATGTGGTTTTTCGTTAAAATTGAACAGTACCGGGAGTATTTCGTTAAAACTCCCTTAAGAAAACGCTTATGATCAAAAGCAATATCTATGTGACGGTATTTAAAATGAAAAATGACACATTTGAATGAACATATCGTTGATTTTACAAGATAAACTATAGCTACACTAAGAATGTTACTGTGATAGTATTTAAGTTATTAATTGCAAATTCTTATGCATTTGAATTTTTATAAATTGGAGTGAGTATTAATTTTTGATAAAATGTCATTCCCGTCACGCCTTAGTGTCATATACCTATTTTGTAGAAGTCTTCGTATCTGACACTCATAATATTATAGTCATTATATTAGTCATTGAGGATCTTCTAATACGTTTTGAACCTTTGAGTTATCTTATATCTTAAAATTTAGCGATTATAAATTGCAGAATATGGAATTCTCCGGAGCACAACTTATTTTCGTAGTCAGGGAGGAGGGTACATGAATACGGGTTGTGTTTCCCTATGTTTTGACTGTCCCAGATCCCATTCCAATTCAAACTTGTCACTTCTGAAACAAAAACCCTGAAGCCACCGGGCAGTGTGCTCACATGGCCAGCCAACTTCAAGCTTCCCATATATTGTCCACCACCACTCCCATTTTTCTGCCAACACACCCTTGACTCTCAAAGGAGGAGTGCTAGGAAAAGGAATCCTCTCCGGATTTCTTTCTCCTAATTGAATTAGGGAATTCATACTGTTGAAATTTGATCCAACGGCTACAAACAGGGGTCCATTTTAAAAGTTATAATAACTTCAGTCGTTTGATCAAATTTCAACAAAACGAATCCCCTGATTTAATGGATTATAAGAAAAAGATCTGAAGAGGATCTCTTTCTGAAGGCTAGGGTACCCTTACAATTAAAGGTAAGCTGTTGGAAGGGTCTTGGACTTGTCATGATCAAGTCCCCTCTAACACATCTGGGCCTTTTAAGTTTATTGTTCAATGACCCTTCTCTTTCTTTTAAATGAACAATGATAAAAAAAACAAGTAGAATGTGACAAGAAAATGAACAATAATCCCTTTTAAGAAAGACGTCCACGCGGCAAGCAACTTGTACGGAAGCAGTGTGTTCATGAAAATGTGTGTGAGCGACAGGGAAGCTCAAATGTGATCCTTTGTAGCACGTAATTGTTACATTTTATTGTGATGTAATCGTTTCATTGAATTTTTTTTTATTCTCATCTTTAAAAGACTTCGATTATTAATCGTGACTACGAAGCAAGCTTGGATTGAATCACACATCTAAAACGCACCCTGGTATTGTTAGAAGAACCATAAGAAATTAAAAAGGAATTGATTTTTATACTTTCATTTCTTCTTTATTTAAAGATGACTCCATGCTCCGATTGTGGGATATTGTTGTTTGAGAAGAGAGGACCCCTTCAAGGTTGTTGACAGGCAAGTCCTCAGGACCCCTTCAAGGTTGTTGATAGGCAAGTCCTCAGGAGTTTTCGGTATTTCGAATAATTCCACCGAGACTAAGGGCTTTATATGTAATTGTCTTTTAATTTTGACAAGCCAAAGAGCTTAAAAATAAGAAAAGAGGAATAGTGCAGTGGAAAAAAAAAATCCAAAGTGCAAAGGCCCACTTGTTTTCTATTTTTGTTCTTCTCTTCTTTTTGTAAGATGCAATTTTTGTTCTCAATAGAGTATTGATTTTGAATTATTATTTTTTAGTTGTCCCTTGTACTATCTTATGAGTTGCGATTGGTGAACTAAACAAGATTGAATATTGTATTTTGAAATAGTTAGGCTAGGAAGGGAAGTGATAGATTGAGATATTTTTTCCAATGTTTGGTGTACACAATGTCATTTTATGGTCGTCCATTGTAAGAATTGTCATTTTTGTTTGTTCCTTGTACTATCTTATGGGTTACGTTTGGTGGGCAGGACAAGAATGAACATTATACTTTGGATTGGTTAGGTTAGAATGTAAAGAAATAGGTTGGGATGAAATTTGTAAAACCGTATGTGAAATTAGTTGCATAACCCATTTTATTTCGGATTTATAGCCTATCCAGTCCAAATTTCATTTACACCATCAAACAAGACTTGAATGTATAGCCATTTCAATTGGCTATTACCCATTCCATTCAGCTAGGGGTGGGCACGGTTTGGTTCGGTGCGGTTTTGAGTGAAACCGAAACCGAATTTTTTTACGGTTCGGTTCGGTGCGGTTTTGAAGCCAAAACCGAAATGAAACCAATCCGTTTGGTTCGGTTCGGTGCGGTTTCAAACGGTTTCGGTTTGGTTTTTAAGAAAAAATGTACAATTTGCAATTTAACATATTAATAAGCATTTCCCAATAGCAATAGGAAAAAGACATTTATTATGTAAACAATTAGCATGTTGCATGTAGTTGTGATGTTAAAACATGTTTGTGCAACAAAAAGGGTGTCCCTTACAATGTTTATCATAAAACAAGTTGAATAAATTTGAATTCATTAAACATGAGCGAAACTTTGATATTAGAATATGTGATATCATGCTTCAAATGAGAGGACTTTATTAGATCATTGTTCGACTCTTGATAACAAGATTAGTCCACCCTTGTACATATATGTGTGTGTGATGGTATAAAATAACAAAGGTCCTTCAAGTTAATGAACAAAAGAAAGTGATGAATGATGATATTCTAGTGTTGTTGAGTCCTATACTAAGTGTATGGATTCTAACAAACAACCAATTAAAACATGAAATATAATATGGACATTTAATTAAATGTTTATTAATATTTGTGGTGCGGTTCGGTTTCGGTGCGGTTTTCAAAAGCCAAAACCGAAACCAAACCGTTTTCTATGTTGCAGTTTGGTTTCAAAACCGCAAAACCAAACCGTTCGATTTGGTTCGTGTTTCGGTTTCAGTTTTCGGTTATAAGTGTCCACCCCTACATTCAGCACGCCAAGCAGACGTATAGCTTTTTTTTTTGCTTCAATAAAGTATCTATTTTTCATCCAAAAAAAAAAAAAAAAAACACCATCTTTCTTCAGTCACGTGTCTCACGTGCTGCACTTTTCTACCCGCCTCCTGGCTGTCTTCCACTCTCCCAAACTCGCGCGTCAGGCCGACATCGCCGACTCCGTACTACGTAATATTTTTCTGAGCAACTCCAGCCCCATACTCTCTTATCACAAAGCACACCAAACCCAACGGCTCACAGCCCGCCACGTCATAAACCATACGACTCCGCGCACCAGCGTGCCACATGTTGGCACCGAATATTCGATGCCACAAAATGTTCCAGATTTCAATTTCCCCCAAATTTTGATTTCTCAAAAGAAAGAGGAAGCCCCTTCTCGCATTTTGCCCCAAATCAGGAAACCCTAATTCCATTAATGGCTGAATTGGTCTCTGGATTTTCTGAATCGCAGTTTTTTCTCGTCTCCGGCCAATTCGATTTCGTCGATCTCGTCAGATTTTCTTCTCTTTGGCAGCGCTCTCCTCCTCCACCTTCTTCTTCTCAGATTTTCAGTCGCCCTTGTAACTTGTTCTGACAGAGAAAGCGTGCTAGGGATTCAGAAAGTACAGTAGGGACCCCCCCCATACGACTCACAGTTATGGGGAAACGTGAGCCTTTCATCCCTTTAGAGTTTTCAATTTGATAATTTTGTTCATTAGGGTGTTCTTAATTCTGCTAATTCTGATGTTTCAATTCGTTAGTTTTAATTGTAATTTGCTTGTTTTATTGCTTGAGATCCCAAATTTGCATGCAATTTATTACTTTTTTGTTGGTTTCAATTATTGCAACAAGTTTTGTTTTTGCTGATTTTAATGTTTGTTTGAGCTCATACTACATGTGGGTTTTTAATTGTCTCCTAAAAAAGGAGGATATAAGAATTATGGAATTTTCGGTGTTGAGGTTATTGTGGATTTTGGCATTTGCAGGTAGTTCTCAGCGTAAGAATGCTGCGATGATGGATAGTGATGATGATAATAGTA